AATAGCTTTCAGAGGGGTGAGACTAACAAATCCAGTTAACTCTCAGGTCTATTAATAGCCATGTTTGCTTTCTTCAGTAACACTGCCAAGCTGCTTATAAAACATTCCAGGTGTATTAGCTGAAAATATTAAATTTTCTAAAAGGTCTCCAGGTAGACTTTTAAAGTTATTGACTTCAAGAGAATATCGGGTAAAGTCCTGGCAAAAGGAAAAAATAGAAAAGTAGCCCCAGACAATTGGGCAGAAGTCAAGTAACAAAGCAAGAGGAGAAAAAGATGAGAGTTCTACTAAGCTTTGCCATGGTAACACACACACATATCCAGGTACTGAGTATCACAGAACTGTATCTCCTTCCCCATGCCTTGAAGTACACCAGCTCACGCCGATGGCATTTGTTTCCAGACCAAATGACTCTTCAGCCATAGTGAACCACTGCAAAAATCTACTGCAGGTTTAGCTGTCATAGTTGATGTGTGTTTTGTGGTTTAAAAAAAAAATAAAAATAAAAAAAACTCTGATTTTCCTCAGTCTAACTATGGTGCTGGTAGTGTTAACCACAAAAAACACTACAGCTCCAACCATGTGGTAGTTTTAAGAATTAAAATTGCTTTAACAGATTTATCCATCACATTCTCATAAGGTTAATCTTTTATGAACTGCTCAACCTTAGGGAAAAGTGGGATCGATGTCGCCTAGCACATATGTTAATACAGAGGACAGGGGGAGGGAGTCTCATTTAATTAGAAGTTCAGACAGAGGACTAGAGAACTCCCAGTGATGTGAAATGTGTATAACACACTGTCTAATTATATTAGAGGTGAATTTTGTGGTGTCTCTGGTAGGTAGGCAGGCATAACAAATAATAATTTCTGTGCTGTGCAAGCTCTGGGAAGTGAGATGGTGGCTGACTGAGAGATGGTCCCTGAGAGAAAGGCTCACACAGAGTCCAAGGCCAAAGAGAAGGGAGGGAGAAGAGTTCTTACAGGGCGTTGCAAGGATCCAGGGGAGGCGAATCTAAACAAACACTCTTTCTTTACTTTGCTTTAGGCAACAAGCCATTTGGAGTTGGTCATTCTCCTTTGACCCATCTTCTGCTTCATGTGTTTATGAAGCGTCTGGCTGTACTGGTTATGAACCGCTGTTAAGTGGGGACAAACGCAAATCTATCTTTGATTAACTCCACATCAAAAGCAGTGACAGCCTTTCTTGGTCAAGTCCTGTGACAGGGGCCTGGATTATTTCACGCAGCTTGAATCTCTGAGCAACGTTGAGCTGTCCTACCTCAGTTGGCCCCAGATCACGACCCATTTGGAAATGATCTTTAACAAACAGCTGGCCAAGCCTTTTACTTCTCTGGACAGATTCATCTTACCCGCCCCCCACTATTGCTCATTTCTCCTTGGCCTGCATGTTCGCTAACATCTTTCCGCCTTTGGACTCTTATCCTCCTGTTGGAAGCCAGAACAGCGCACAGATTCTTCTGACTGCTGGCTGGGCTCTGAGGCAGCCAGAATGTTTCCTAGGGGATGGAGGACTTCAGAGCAGCCCAAATATCTGCAAGAAGCACAGGGAGCCTCTTTGTGCCTAGCTGTGAAGCCGTCTTAAAGTAAGATTTCAAAGGCCTTGTGTGAGCGCAAATGAGCCCTCCGCACCCCACCAGATAAGAATACCAATACCAGGGGTCTCCCACATTGCATGTGAGTACCTTAACTACTGAGCTAAAGGGAATGAAGGAGGTCCTAGTTTCTCATTCCCTCCCCCCCAACCCTGTGTGGCCATTTTTTGTGGAGTTATGAGCCTGTCTGCAGGGCTTAATATGGTAGATGTGCTCAGAGGCTGCCTATTTCTCTCCACCCCACCCCGAGTTTATGAATTGTACTTGGGCTTAGGCACTTGGCGTGAGGCAGAAGTTCACCTGTTCAGAGGCAGAAACATGGGCACTTTTACTGCAAAAAGTTTAAGCTCCAAGTGAGTCTAGGCACTTATAAGGTTAGGCAGCAGCTGAGTGGGGGTTTTGTGTATGAATACCAATGGTGAAGATGCACACTTGGTGTCCGTGAGTGACAACTATTCTGCCAGCTTGCTTCCTGGTACGTGGAATGGATCTTAGGTGTAGGATAGGAGAAGAGAGATTTTAAAAAAAAAAGTATTAAGGGTGAGTAATTTTCCTTCATCTATCTAGGTATGTGTCACAGTGGGTATGTACTGGTATCTCTTCACTTTTTTACCTTTGTGTTGTTTTCAGTGGAGGGACCATGTCTTGCTCCTCTTTTGTATAGTGCCTAGCACAGGTAGGCACCAATCCTAACTTGGTGTTACCACAATATAAATTATGATTAAAAATAGTAATTTTGTAACAAAATTTATTTTTGCTCTGTAGATACAAATCCCAAACATCAACAAACAAAATTCCAGTGGAAAAATACTAGCCATTAACAATGAAAACTTATTTAATAAATAGAACTTTGGCATTCAAAATTCTAGCTGTAAACCCTACTATAAAAAAATTACAAAAAGAGGCAATAACCACAGAGCTAAAGGTGAGCCACCCAGTGGCGCCTTTTACTTTTTACACTGAATGCATTTTGATTAAGTCATGACAACTCTATTTACACATGAGGTATTCTGAGCGGTTCGAAAACAGAACCCAATTTACATAACTACCAGCCTTTGGGGACTAAGCCAGTACATATGTCAGCTGTGCTTTTAAAAGTTAGACTCAGCCCCCTCCTCTCCACTGATTACCAATGAGATATTGTAGTTAATATATACAAAATTATCATTCTGATTGAATTTCCTGCTCACTCTTCCTGTCAGAAAAACTGGACTGCTAAAATCACCTAACTTACAAGATGTATGCCTAGTACCTATAGCATTTAGTACATATTTCTAGATATTATGTAAGAGGCTCCTTACTATCAAAGCCTAAAAACAAAAGATCCGTAGTTAGAGCAAACAAGGTGCAATAATTATTGACATTCTTCTAGCTCAACTAAAATTCATTGGGACTATATACATTTACTGAAGGCAAAAAAGGCACAAAGGTATGCAGCACTGGAATTAATACTGCTGAGCAGCTGTCATACAAAATCTGTTTATATAATCTTCAATAGCCACTGGTTTGTTTTCATATTTTAAAAATGTTGATTGATTGATTCAAACAATCGAAATATTTCCCCATGCATCAGAAAAACCTGTTGTATCAATTCCATTAAAAGAACCAAATTCTAATTCCAGTTACGCCCATGCAGCCCCACTTATGTCACTGAGGGGTAACATAAGTGAGGGCAAAATTCAGGTGTCAGGTACCTGAAGAGGGATTTCCATCCTTCCTTGCACCCTCTTATCTTTAAAAGAGCAAGTAGGATAATTTTTTCCTCTAACTAAAAGTGATAAGAAATCTTCAGAAATGAGCAGAGCAAAATAACTTTGGCTCTTACAGCTACATCTATTGGCAGTTTTAAAATGTTGTTGCCTGAGTTGGTGGTTATAGCAACCGCAATAAATTACAGAAGTACATCACTATAAACCCACACATCTGAGGCTAAGAATCTAAGTTAAGTTTGCACAATTGAGCTGAACTACTTATATACAGTAAATACATAGCATCTTTTATAGCTTGCCCAAAGACAACTACTTTCCAAGCCATTTTTAAAATACATTCTTGAATACAGTAGTTATTTACTGTAAGAATCACTTAAAGGATTGTAGAAATTAAACTGAAACTATACAAAAATTGCTGTACGTGTTTCTCTGTAAGTCCACTAATAGACAGAACGGTACAGTATCCACTCATTAGACATTTTTTTTAGCCCTTGAGATTGTCTCTAAGTTATGGCAAAAAGTTGTCATGACTAAATCAGTTTCAGTAATGCCACTGTTAACGTTTGTTAATCAACCATATCATATTAAATATGTCGAATGAGACCACACACACTCTACTTTTTAACCAGCTAAACAATCATGCATATCTTACTTAGACAAAGCTTATTCTGTTTGGAGACATCTGTAAACTGATGCATATATAACAATAGCTCCTACAACAGCAGGCCCAATTTTAAGAAATCAAAGAAAAGGAAAAATACTTATTCTTTGTGGTCACTTAATTCTAACCTTATCAGTAATTTGTATCTTTGGCTCATCACATCTGCCATTTCTCTCCCTGCTTTAATTTGACTGAGGCAGATAAACTCAGTGTGTTACTTTAAAAATCAAGTGCTCTATATTTTAATGTAAATACAATTGGTGCTCTAATATAACAGAGAGAAAAAAAATGCAGAATTACAGCATCATCATTCACAATAGTGCAACTAAAAAAAAAAAATCAAGACTTTCATACTGGGAGAACCTTCTATAATACTTTTGAACCATAGAACTTCTTTCCAAGGATCTCTAAGTGCTTTATAAACATTAATTCATTAATCATAACTCCCCAGTGTAGTATCCCCATTTTTGAGATGGGGAAACTGAGGCGCAGAGGTTAAGTGACCTGCTGAGCATCACACAGGGAGGACCTGGCACAGATAAAAACAGAATCTGCTGTTCCCTTCTGTAACACTACACTACTATCCCTCCAATATGTGCCCACGCGATTTAAAACAGCAATACATTTCCCTTTTATAGGCTGATTGTTTTTTTTGTCCTTTCTGCTTATTGAAGTATGGTGTTGCTTAGACACGGATTGCCTCCCTTTTACCCCACCAAATACTTTTAGTTGACTGTCTGAAGTCAGGATGTTGAATTCCTGACACTAGACAAATTTGCTATAAACACAGGATGATGACTTCACTTCAGGGCCAAGCAGAAAGAAAGTGAAAGTAAGTAGTTATTAAAACTACTAATCAAAACAGCAACCACTAAGTTATAGGCAAAGATTCCTTATTTTCAGTTTTGCCCTAATGTGAAAGTCCCTCTTTAAAGTTGTGTCCATAATTCTTCTACAAACTCCAATTTTTAGGCAATAAAAAAAAAAAAAAAAAAAAAAAAAAAAAAACCTAAAAACCAAGTTCTGGGCAAAAAGATAGCTTCTTTCTTAGCCCCAGAATATTTTTTAAAAAATGTAAAGATTACGCTGTTCAGTTGTAAGGATGGAAGACTTAATGCTCCCAAAGTTGCTGCTTCAGTCTGAGTAAATAATCTGCAATTGAAAAATACTGAGAACCATTAATATAAACACTAAAATAGATTTTCACAGATCTAGGCCAGGTGTAGGGACAGTTTAGCAAGCAAGACCTGTTGAATAAATAAGCCCATGTAACAGTTAGAAAAGACTGACCAGAAGATTTTTAAATCACTAAGTTCATAACAATGACATTTAAACACTCTTTGTAACACAAAACAGAAGGCTGAAAATTTTAACGTTAAAATCAGCAATGTCAATCCACATTATCCTTAAGCTATTTTTTCTGTTTTTAACAAATGGTGAAAATTAAATATAGATATTAATGTCAGAAAAAAACAAAAATAGCCATTCCTTTACCATAGTTTGCTGTCTTCCAGCCTACTTTGTCATGGCCCATAAGCTTACTAACAAAAGATTTCTAATGCTGCCAGCACTGTACTGTCAGCTGTAATAACTGCACAAGCAAGCTGCAGCTATTTGCTCTCAAACTTTTTTAATTTTTAAATGTGTTTGCAGTCTTTTATGATTGATTCTCATTGTCTAACATTAATAATGCAGCTTGACAGCCATTTTGGCCAGGTCAGCATTTGAAGGCAGAACTTATTTGCTGTGTTTGTCTCCAGTGAAATAGAGGTATCCTTGTTTTACAATTACCCAGCTAAGTTCTGATCATAGAATCGTTTTGCGGGAGTGCTAATATTCTATCTGTCCTGCAGGGGCAGTCTTGCACTGGATAACAATGTGTTCCTGTATTTTTTAAAAAGTAATCCTTTCCTGCAGGACTGGAAAAATCTACAAGTCCTGCACACCACACAAAATGATAGAGTCTGACAATAACATTCTGAGCTTTCAGCACTAAGAGGCAGAAAAAATTTTGTACAGGCCCAGATGCTGCAAGATTTGGGTTGTTCATTACCTTCAGGAGGCCTGCAGGATTGGGCCCTGGATATATAGGCTGAACACATTTAAAACAGAGGTTGTAGACAGAAAATAACTACAGTACACACACCATGAGACGTCTCCAGTGTCATTTTGCTGACAGAAAGCCAGCCTTAAGAGTTACAGCAGCTGGCTTTTGTGGGTTTGTGTCACAGTCTTCATATTACTGAAACAAGGTTTTTAAGTAACATGTTAAAAGATGGAGATATGAGGAAGGCAAACATCTCAATCTGATGGGACTACATTCACATACAGAGTTTGTTTGCCTAGACTGTTGCTGGATAAAATAAAAACCCTAATAATCAACAGGGATCAGCTGCTGAAACCACCCCTTCTTTCCCTTACCTAATTCACGAGGCAATTATAAAACGAGCAACCACCTTTTGTAGTAGTCAAAAACCACCCCAATTGCAGTTTCCAACATGATGTGTTTTGCAGAAGCATCTGGCTCCACTGTCCATATTTTCTCTACACCTTTGGGTGCTTGAACCTGTCACTCCAGCCTTTCAATTCGGACAGTGCAACTCCAACCTCTGATGAAGGAAAGTAAGTACAGTAGTAACAATAGTGCCTTTTTCTGAGACTTTGCTTTGACTTCGGAAAACAATATAACCACACATATTGTTTAAATGAGCCATGAGGGAGGAAATAAAATCCTACATCTCTAATGGGAACATTCTTCACAGCTTGGTCCTACATTCAGTAGTTTGGAGAACACAGATTTTCTTGAGATCTGTACCACTCTCTTCAAATTAAGATTTCCCCACCATCCCCCAAATTAAATATGCACAACCCTCAGACCCACCAGACACCCATGTGCAGCTCATATACAGTATGCTATCTTCCCATATGGCTCCTTCATAGAAATGCAAAGATCCGTAACACAGCAGTATTTAATAATGTAGTCATTGCTGTGAGACAAAATTTTATCATTGGGTAACGCAGTTGTCTCCCATGTCCTGAGCATAACGGTCTGATATTATAGTCCTCAGTTCATCAATATCCTTCCGTAATTGACAAACCTCCGAGAGTTTCTTGGTGAGAGTTTCTGTGCTGTGGTAATTCTCATTCTCTTCAGCTGAACAGCTCATTGCTGTGAAAAACAAGACACAGCTAGAGCTTAGCATGCAACCACATAGCTTACACATTCACTCACTTCAAAGGGTGAATGTTTTTTAGTTAATGATACCTGGACAAATCTTGCTTTAATATAATGAAAAGCCATCAAAATGCAGTATTCAGTGCACTTACAACCATACACTATTCCTTTTTTGAATCTAATGTAGCTCTTTCAAAGTGGCAATGGAAAAACCTAAAGGGCAGATTGACTACACAACTTTACGGGGGGCTCATGCCAATAGAAAGTGTGCTGGGTGGGATGGAGAAGTGGTGGCAGCACAACTTTCTCCCCAAGAGTCTGGTGGGAGAGAGGCACAGCCCATAAGCAGGTGGTGACAGGTCTGGGCAACCTGGTGGAGGGCAATGCATACAGGATGTGTTGTTTCTGTAGCCTGGGACAGCAGGAGTATGCATATCAAATAGAGATTCAATTTACTCTCCCTGGGACCTCACAGAGTAAAACCACCATTCGGCCAACCCCTTCAAATGCTGCGTAGGTAACAGAAATCAGAACTACACACGTATCGATTCCTGCCCCCATACTCACTAATCCATAAACGTGGCTGGTCTGCAACAGCTCTCTATTAATAAGAATTAGTGAGGTCCTATATTGTTTTCTTTAATTTATACTGGCTCATGCTGTGATCCTACTGGATCTCACAAATCAAGTCAGATTAATAATCAGTTGGGAGATCTCAGTGCAACACCTATTTGCTTCAGGAGGTGGGTTCTATTAGTAATAAACCTGTGTTACTGAAAGCATCCCTTTTGGATGTGTTGTAAACCTGGAGGCTTGACTACTTATACTTATTCAAGATCACATGACACAGTAAAATTATGTGTATTAATGCCAGTATACTGGCTCATCTGCAAGTATACTAACGATATATATAATTTTCTCCACTTCTTCTCCTAACCTGTTGGGTATGTTGTGTGCTATCAAACAGCTGCTGCATTTCACCTTAGAGAAGATGGCATTACTCTATAAAGTGGTTCCTGATTATGATTTGGTCATAGCATATACATTTGAAAAGAGCTTTGGGATCTTTGTGGTAAGAAGCACATGGGGAATTGCTACGTTTTAGCAGGCTGAATTCTGCCTCTCCTCTATATCTTATAACCTGAAGGACATTAACAGGAAATACTTAATAACTTGGACCAGTAACTGCATGACCAAGAACACTTGAAAAATATACAAAGAGTGTTGTTTAGTTTTCTACATGGTGACCAGAAAGTACAGGTCTCAGCCAGCCCAAACTAGATTCCATTGCTATAGACTATGGTTTCTCAATGTCAAAGTACAATATAAATATTGCATGATAATATCACTTACATCTGATTCCCAGCAGTAAGGAGAGGTTAGGCTCCTTGCCCTGAGCTCTCTGGGTAAGAATACTGCATAGTGCTTTCAAGTCAAACAAACAATGGGACATTTCTTTGAACAACTGGTCAGCCACCGGCATCTTTTCAGACACTGGCTGTCTGGACTGTTCCATCTGGCATATCTGCTCCCTCAAAAAGGCATTCTCTTCCATTAGTCTTTGGTTCTTTGTGAAAATAAAGAAAGAAAAAAAAAAAGGGCTGTGTCATTTTCTTCACCTAATACTAGTCCACACCAGTTGTAGACATCTCAAAACATTCACCATACAAAAAAGCAGCATGTTTTCTGTTTCAGACAGTGAACAATATGAATTAAACTGAATGGACTTAGATAAATGATGGCATGTATTAACTGGCAGATTTAGGGGCTACTCAGATTTAAAAAAATAAACATTAAAAATAAACCATCCATATCAAAGCTTCCAGGCTAGAGCACTCTCTCAAAGTGTGAATGGCAATAAATCCCCACCTGTGTGTCTGTTTCATTCATTTATTGTGTCTTGTCATTAATCTAAAGAGTAAGCTCTTCCGGGCAGGCACTGGCTCTTTACTACATGCCTGCACAGCATCTAGCACAATGGGGCCCTACTGTGGTAGAAATATTTTTATAAGGGGTTTCTAATTACTTACTTCAAGCAGAGTTTTATTTAACTGCTGTATATGCCTTTCTTTTTCTTCAGTCTCATTTGTCATCTTCTGCATTGTCACTTTCCCTTGCAAAAGCTTTTCTTCCATAGACTAGATAGAATAAAAACAGGAATAAGTGCCTTAATTCTTGTATCTTGTCAGCTGGGGTATATTGGTATATTGTGGTACATCGGGATAAGTTTTGTTGATTTACTGTACTTGTTATGTTCAGATTTACTTGCTCCTCATCTATTTATTTCACCACCTTCCTATCGGCAGTTAAATGACTCAGCATTTATCTATAGGAACAGCTTCCTCTAGCGGTCAGTTGGGGAGCAATCTCTGTAGGATACTGACTATTTCTAGTCAGAAAAATTCTTAAGTTATCATGATAGACTTCTACAGCAATATTTTTTTAAGGGTTTTTCTCTGAGGTTTAATAAGTGTCTTCTTCATAAACACAAATACCTGTGGATTTTAAATAGGGGAAAAATGCATGGAGTCTAAAATTACTGTTCATTATAATTAATTCCCAGCAGCTATTTCCTTTTTATGAGGAATGTCTTAACGCCCACTAAGTGTCAATTTTATGCTAATTTCATTGTGACTAACAAGATGAAGTTCTTTTCACCTTTCTTTTTCCATTTTTAAGAATATGGAAACAACCCCTCCTTTGAGTACTGTCTGACAGATGGTGAATTTGATGCTCAATTCATATTGAAGGCCTTTTTTGGCCTTTGATAACTCTTGATATGGTGCAGTTACTTTAATTTTCTACAAAATTATTTTTAAACACCTGAACTGTGCAGTGGGGGTGAAAGAATCCTGATTAAACAAGTGGCTCCAAGGTAAAATAATTTATTAGATTTTGGGTCGCTTCAGCTGTCCAAATGATTATCCTAGCAGTTACAAAGCAGCAATAACTTTCTCTGAACCTACTGCTAATAAATACTCAGTTTCTCAGATTTGATTCCTACATTGACCAAAAAGATCAACTCCTCCAATGACGCTGAGTCAACGGCTCTTGAGTATGCTTTAGTGGTCTCACCTCACTGTCTTTTTGACAGCTGACTGCTTAAATAACAATAAAACCATTTTATAAAGCTTCTTAAGGTTGTGGAAAACAGATACATGACAAATTTCACCTGTAATTGGGTCAAAGTTTTTGCAATATCAGCTCATCTGAGACAATGATTTTGATCTCATGAGAAATTCACACCATTGCTTAATTTCCTTTGCCTAGCTTTTAAAATATATATATCTCAGATGATAAACACATTTGTCAGACTCCATTCATCTAAAACACTTATCTGTACTTATTGTATGTCACTGTGACGCAACATTCCATGTTCTCTCTCAAAAATAGGGATAATCCTGCTCTGCACAAATATGTGGAATTTGTTAATGTTTGTATAGTTCTGAAAACGTACATCACTAAATAATATTAATATTTCAGATTACGTGTATGCATCATGTTTTGCTGGTGTAGTAGGTTTCTAGTTCCTGCTTAAAGAGGTTACTTCTGGGTTTCAAAAGACACCTCTGCATACATAGTTCCACTTGGATATATATTGCAATTCAGTATGATCGTAGTTATCTTTGTCAGTATCATGCAGACTTATTTCACCACTTGATGATTTCACTTATCTATGTTCATATGCTTTGCAGGATTATTTGGCTCAAATCCAGAAAGAGAAGCAGTCAAACTGCCTCACTCAGAATATTAATAAAGCTGAGCTACTGCTTATATAAACTCCTAATGCTCTAAACCACAGACTCTTGCAAAGCTTCAAAAAGGGGGATTTTTTTCATGTTGGTAATGTTATTGCTCTCAAAGCCCAGTGATATGCTCTCGCAGTGCATCCAAAAGTTCCTTTATATCCTTTGATCAGCACATTAATATGTAAAACCTGTTGCCCAGTTCCAATTATTTTACGTCAATCCACTCCTATCTTGCTCAAAATATAGTAGGAGCATCGGTGCCAATGCTGCATACTTTGTCATTGGTGCCCTGGCCTTGGGAACTATTTGATTTAACCTTTCCAAGCCAGTGGAACTCAAGATCATGTAGCAAGAAGAAAAATGGGTGCTCCATAGTGTGGAAGCAGAGATTAGTGCTTACTATACAATGCTAACCCATGTATGGGATGGCATTGGCTCAGAAGAATATTTTCTTATGTGGACTCCTGGAAAATGTAATAGAGAATCACCTCTCTCTCAGAGAATTCTAAGAGAATGGTTAAAAAAATGTAAGCTTAATCATTCTTTATTAAGTTCTATAGTTTAATTTCAATAGGAACCTAATGGTTTCATCCCAGTTCTCTAGCCATTTTTCTTAAGGATATGAAGAACTCAAGGAGCAGAAGAGCAATAACTGAAGCAGTCATAGCAAATGGAGCTGAATTGTTCCAAAGTGTACAGTGCTTTTGGGGCACAGAAAAATGCCCATGAAGTTCTAGGATAAACTAATTCCTTTTATGACCTAATATGAAATTACTCTGAGAGTTGCATTCAAAGGCTAATGCACTAATCCACTGCCCATTTGACACCCAATAGCATAGAGCTTTTCCAAATACATTATCCTGAAAGTAATGAGGAATGGTGCTGCTGCTTCCCTATTCTGACGCACCAAAACCAAATACAGAGGATTTGTCTTCCCTATTGCGTTTAAAGTTTGACTTCTAAAAGGTGAATAATAAGAGAACTTACTCTTACTGGTGTGCTAAATCACCACGTAGAGCCCCCAGATATTGTTCATTTATATCAACTAAAAGAGGTTTTTACATTCAACAGTCATACTGAATGCATGTTTACATTCTTTGTTTTATGCACATTACAAGTTTGTTTGTTTTTTTAAAAAAAGACGTGTTCACAAGTACTATTAAGTTTTACCATTTGATTTTCAAAATTCTGTTTGTCATTTGTCTTATGTAGAACTCTAGTCACACTCCAACAATGAATAGTCTGGAAATAAGTTCACATACAATTCTATATTACACCGAATCATATGTATGTCATCAGCTCATGAGTCAATGGCATTTGCCAGGGATCACTAAAATTGGAAACTTGTATTAATAAGTATTAATTCTACCTTGGGTAGGAGATTCATGCTTAAGTGCACATTCACATACAAGCCCACTGGCTTACCATCCTGGACACACAGTACTATGGTTTTCCCTTTCCCCTCTTGCTGTGTGACTTACTTTATACATTTTCTGTATGAAGTTAAAATTCAGTTATGTTAATCCCATCAGTCATGATACACAAATAGCTCCAAAAATAGGAACGCCAGATATGCGTTAGATAACAAGTGCTCTGTACAATCTGGCTTTTCTATCCTTTTTAATATTTTTGTTTTTTCATAAAGGAAATGTTAATTTTGTGACAATCTAAATTAATCATTTGAACAGGAATTTTAAAAAAGCAACTTCCATGTACATTTTCTATTTCTGAAGCTGTAAGGCACGCAAAATAACATATCTCAAAAGTAACCAAGACGTTAATCTCTCACAATAAAAAAAGTAGGAAGATCAAAACCATTACTTAGAGATTACAAATAAACAGGAAATTAAAATGGTCACAAACTGTTGTTTGGAGCAGGATTTGTTTTCATTTCAGCTGACACTTCCAGGAGGCAAATATCAAAAATAATATTGAGGGGCTACTTTTTTAATAAAAGACTGAACTGAAAATAAATTTATAAAGCATAATTTTAAATTGTGGATGAACTCACCAAGTAAATAAGTAAGATTCAAAAAGGTATTAGTCTAGTTTTTGCTTAACCACATTCTGTGCTTCCTGGTTCTGAAAAGAAAATCCTCCCTCTTCTATTGATGTTAACAATTCACCTGCAATTTCCTATAAACTCCCAACAGGAGCAGGAGACAGGAGAACAAGTGCTACATGATGACTGCTGAGGGCAGAGGTCAAGTAAATATGGACTGATGGAACCTTGCTGGCCAGGAACAAGCACTAAAACCCTCTTCTCCACCCCCAAAAAATATCAAGATGGCAGGGGAGAAGAGAAGGAAAAAGAAAAACGGTCCTGCCAAGATGTGTGAGTTACTCTCAACTGTGAAGTCAACAAGCCTGAGATTGCTGATCCCCGTTTGGAGCTGCCTGTGACTCCCTATTCTGAAACAGGCTGGGGAGGAACGGGGCTGGTGAAACAGCCATATTTCTTCTCTCCCTTCCTCTCTCAACAGAAGCACAAAATGACAATGGAGGAGCACACGAGGCATCAGACAGGTCTACAGAGGGGAATCTGAGTGCTCTGGGGGGCTGACCCCACAGTGAAACAGGCCAGAGAGCTTCTCAGCTTCTAAAGTTCAATTTTTGTTCTTTTGGGGGTGGTCTGCTGGGGCTTGATCCAAAGCCCACTGAAATAAACGGAAAGCCTCCCATTTGCAGCAGGCCATTAGTGCTTACCACCTGGTACCTGAGGCTCACTGTGGATCTTTCAGAGGGGTGTTTATGCATCTCCCTGGATGCAAGTGCTGGTGCTCCACATCTAGGAGTCTTCTAGTGGGAAGAGACCGTATTATTTGGGTTGCCACCAAATGGGGCACTGAAGAGCTGCTTACAGGAAACGAAGCAGATGTGATTCAGGGGAAAGAATCTCTCTTACAAACAGGAAGACAAGAAAGATCCTAATTTAAAAATAGACATTTTAAAGGAGAGAGCAAGATCCCTGGCCACACAGAGTCCTCTTTGCACCGCTCTGGGAGTAAAAAGGCAACTTAAAGCTGCCCTAAATAGACAGCTGAGGATTCCCCAGGCCTACCAAATCCTCTGTTGGCATAGAACTGGCATAGCTAGTTCTCCACCATTCCTTTCCAGGACCCCCAAACCAGCAGTATGTGCAATCCGGCTGTCCCCGCTGCTGTTGGCCCCAAGGGGGACATTGCAAGCCAGCATTTGGAAACTGCTCTAAGTTGTGCCAGGAGCTGAACTGGCCCTGGTTACTTCAGGGATCTGAAAAGAAGGATGCTATTTTGCTGCCTTTGGTGTGCTGATGGGTACCTCATTGCACCTGAGATCCTGGTCCTCACACCTAGATTGGTTTTAAACTCATTCTGACCCTCACTTATTTTCTAAGGGTGAAAGTTTTCTACATTGCACACCCAGTACTTATGCAGCAGGTAACTGAAACTGACATTATCTTTATAATGTTGCTGAAGATGCTAAGTCAGACTCTCCTTTCATATAAAACCAATTTTCCTCGTGTAACTCCACTGCTTTCAGTGGCGTCAGACCTGACTTATGATGGTGTGAGAACAGAATCAGCCTGTCAGCTACAGCTGACAGAACACTGGGCACAAGTGTCAGGCATGCAAGCTTTCCTTTTCCCACCTCTTCACCGTACAAACATCCCGGACTGAAGATACTGTTTAAAAATAGGCTGTCAATAGCAGCAAGTGCTGACAGTGGACATAGAAGGGCTACTGGGGCTAACTCAGGTTATGGCAATGCTGGCCTTGGTACCAGTAAGTAATTAGAGTTTGTAGCCACTGGTCCTAATCCAGATCAACACAGAATTTGACTCAGCATAAAACCCTCAGCATATTTAATGACTTCCACTGATATGGCACCCAGCAGCAGGGAAGTAGATGGAATGAGAAGGTTAAAACTATAGGGGAACTGGAAAGATCCAGGAAATACATTGTGATGGCGTAAGTATGTTAAGCTACTAAACGGTCAGTCAAACTGATGGGTAAAATTACTCAATTATTTTATGAAAGTAAGTGAAGGAAACTGCTTTGTTAATAGGTATGCCAGATCGTTCATACTGTAGCAACTCATCAATAGTGGCTTTTATTTCAAACCCATTCCTGTTAGATTTCCATTCATTCAAGACTGCAGTCTTAGACCAACTGCTAGTGTTCAATATTTAGGTGTTTAATGTGTATTTCTTTTTCTTATCGGACTACAATTTGTGCCTGTCCTATGACTCGTCGTTAAAGAGTGTGCAGTCATACCAATAGCACCAAAAGTGACATAAGCAGCTCTGAGGATATCGGACAGGCCATCCTTTAGACCAGGGGTAGGCAACCTATGGCACGCGTGCCGAAGGCGGCACGCGAACTGATTTTTAGTGGCACTCACACTGCCCAGGTCCTGGCCACCGGTCTGGGGGGGCTCTGCATTTTAATTTAATTTTAAATGAAACTTCTTAAACATTTTAAAAACCTTATTTACTTTACATACAACAATAGTTTAGTTATACACCTCTACCTCGATATAACGCTGTCCTCGGGAGCCAAAAAAAATCTTACCGTGTTATGGGTGAAACCGCATTATATTGAACTTGCTTTGATCCACCGGAGTGCGCCCGTCCCCCCCACCCCCCAGAGCACTGCTTTACCGCATTATATCCGAATTCGTGTTATATCGGGTAGCATTATATCGAGGTAGAGGTATATATTATAGACCTATAGAAAGAGACCTTCTAAAAACGTTAAAATGTATTACTGGCACGTGAAACCTTAAATCAGAGTGAATAAGTGAAGACTCGGCACACCACTTCTGAAAGGTTGCCGACCCCTGCTTTAGACCATCAGCATAAGGCAGCTTGTAGGGAGGCAGTTTTCCACCTTATGCTGGGAATCCAATTTGTTTCTATCTGCAAAGTGCTAAAAAGCTTATTTTAAGTTAAGTTAAGGTTAAGGAGATGTTTCTACTCCAAGCTCCTATTTGGACAGAGATACAGTATCTGTGTTTTAATAGCACATTATCATAAACTGCAACTGCCTAAACCAATGGCAAAATATATACATTTCCTTACCTGAATTTCTAACATCATCCCAGCTATCTGATTTTGTTGATTGTCTATGACCTATAAAAAAACGGAAATATGACTAAGTACCACATTCAAAAAGATGATTGACCCTGTGAGTTTTAAGTAGAACAGTCTCTCTAATTTCTGATCTAGTGACCCTCTTTTCTTTTATAAATGTCTAAACCCGGAACTCAAATTACCTATCCTCGAAGTAAATAACAAAAAAAGAGAAATACTGCTTAACACTCACACAGCAATCTTCATCATGAAATTACTAATTACACAATCACAGTTAACTTACTGCCAGTTTCTTGGTAAAAACTAAGTCTCTCTCTATTTTATTTGACCAAAAATGGTTTACATTTTCTTGTGCAACTGAGTATTCATGCAAAACAAATGCACTGACCCAAGGAACACGTGTTGAAGAGAAACCGGAATCAGCAGTACACGTGAAAAATTGAGTGAGAGAAAAATAAGACAAAGAAACACAATAGGAGATTCTAAGGTTGTGGACACTACTGACAGTTCAGCTAATCAGTTTCATGGACTGACCTTGCGGGCTTTCTCATTCTTTTCTTTGAGGCATTCATTCTCACTCTGAAGCTGTTTTGTGTCCAACATGGGGAGGCGGATACCATCTTCCAGGCATTTTTCTACTTTCTGTTGCAAACTGCAGTTCAGAGATAAGAATGGAAAAGCAACTAGTCAATTTATTGGGAAAACAAGGAAACAAAAACGGCAGTATGTTCTAGTGGAGGGTTTAAAAACCACCATAAGCATCATCACTCAGTCTCTCACCAAACCCACCAAGACTTTACAAGTAGATTCCAGCTTCATGTATAAGCAAACTGACAGGTGGGTAAGTGGTGTAAATCCTGGATTTCTTGAAGTCACCATGTCACTAACAAGAACAGATCAATCTGAATAAACAGGAAAGTTTTATTACTTATCCAATATATACTCCACCTTTGTAATACTTTGCTGCCTGGTTAAAAAAATAAATCCTGGACCAGATTCTGTGTTGCATCTCTTGAGGCAAGGCACTGGAGGTGCACTCAGGAGGGGAACAACTGTGACTTTAAAACCCCTTTGTGCTGCCCATTTTACGGGCTGCTATGGGGGCTGAATCAGCTCCAGCATTAGTCAGAGCAGTCCTGGGGGTTGTTCTTACAGCAGCTTTACTAAATTTGCCTATGGGGTCCCTATGAGCTCCACTGCAGCCCTGAATTGCCCACAGTGCCAAGCACTATGGTCTATCATTCCTGCCCCCTATGATGGGCATGTGAGGGGGCAGCATAAAGCCACAAATCTCAGCCATTACACTGTTTACGCACCAGAGGAATGTTCCCAGCCCCCTGCAGTTCATTTAAAGCCCCTATATGCTGCCAGAGCTTTCCCCCTCAGCAGCTTTCAAAAATAAATGCATTTTATTACAGTGACAATCCTGTTTTCCAATATAGAAACCAGAGATCGTTTCAAATATTTGTAGGCTTTCAGGAGAGACAAAACCATCCCTGTAGATTACATGGACACAAATAAAAAGGTGCATCAGCTGTAAGATGGAAACAATGTGCACAGTGATCTGCCTGACTAGATGTCCCAACCGTCTAGCCTTTCATCAGTAGCATGCTTTTAGACTGCTACTGGCATGTACATTTAGGCAAGTGAGGGGCCCGAACTAAAGCGACATCCACCCCAAATTATAAAAAATTATCCTTTTCATAGCCTCTCCTTTTTGGCTGTCTTTATCACATAACTCCAATTGATATTTTTCCTTTAAAAATGATGCCTTTAAGTAGTATAAAGAATGTAACATACACCATAGTCTCATTCAATCATCCATCTGGAATTTTTCCATGGAAATCTGCCCAATTTGTTCTTTTATGATTATGTAAGGCCAGCGATAGGGCACCAGCTGCAGTTAAACAAATACCTCCCCCATTAGGAGATGGATGCAGGATTTTTAAATCTTTGACCCTTCCATGGTTAGTTTACCCCTCAATAAATTTCTTCGGAGCTTTCCTACAGTCCAGTACAGGCTTATTTATTAGTTTGGAATGCTGGGAGTCTCTGAACAATGCTCTTTTGCTGTACACGCTTATTCTATCCAACCTTTACCCGGCACTATTCCATGATGCCAGCTCTCAGAAAGACATTGGTGATAGTCAGCCCCTCCTCTGTTATCATATCATTCGTAACATGATACAAAGGAAATCTCATCATATTTCCAGTACAGTGTCAATGACTTTTGTGTCACACTGTCACCCTCTGTGTGGTAATAATATGTTCCAGTGTGACACAAAAGTCATTGACACCATACTGGAGTAAAGCTGCAAAGAATTTGGCGGCTTGAAACAACAAGTATGCTGCAACAGTCCCAGAGCATCACACAGATATTCATACCTCTGCACTGTGGTGACCAGGTCTTTTTCTTTCTTTTTCTGATACACGAGTTGCAGCTCTTTCTCCCTACATTGTGTTCTAGTCTCTCCAAGCTTCTTCTCCAAATCTGTCACTGTTTCTTGGAGTTGCTTGTTCTTCTCTTCTAGAATGTGCAGCTAAGACATTACATCCAAACAGTCAGACACAATGCTAAGTTTTGTATTAAGAGTACTTACTACAGGCCCCAGCTTTACAGTTATCTTCTGAATACACTTTTAGCCTAATTTTGACTGTGCACTAAAGTCTATTATAATTCTCCTTGTTACACTGTTAAAACACCTTTTAACACTTTAAATATTTGTCTTACTAATCAAGTGGGGAAAAGTGTGATATACACATTGCAATTCAGTCAAGAGGAATTGCAAAACAAAACAATCAATAATGGTGTGACACATGGCCAGAAAGAGTTAAGCATCTTGCAAGATAAATGACCTGAATTCAACCTCTAGGAACATATTGGTAGATAATGTTTGTGTTTTTGTGTGTTTACATATATATTGTTAGAGGTTAACAATGTAACAAAACTGTTCCTGTCTATGCTGTATTCTGTTAATTCAGATATCAAAAGGAGATCTTAACATTTAAATAAACTGTAAATATAATGATATCATTGTATTGATCTCCCTTCAAAATGTATAGCAAATCACCTGCGAATGGTGGAAAACAGGCAATTGCCTTATGTTAATCCTTGTAGCTAATTACTGGTGATGCTTAGGAAATAGGTCTACTTCAAAGTCTCAGTGATTGCCTATTGCTCGCCTAAGAACTCCGAGCTGCCAAGAGAAGGCCTGGAACTGTATAAAAACCCTTGGGGTATGATCCTTTTTATTTCAGATCTCCTTGATGCTTTACACAGGGGAAGCTTGTGTCCTACGACTGAGATCTCCAGTCCCACCGGGATCACCCTGAATATGAATGTTGGACTATATACTATGGACAAATTCTGAAAGAACTCTTTGCAACTACAAAGCTCACCATCTCTACTGTAAAACTGATTTCAGAACTGTACTCATGTCTGTATGTATCTTTTAACCAATACTCACTCTCTTTTCTTTTTTAATACGTTTTAGTTTAGGTAATAAGAATTAGCTGTAGGCATGTATATGGGTAAGATCTGAAATATTCAGATATTCAATATTCAAATATTCAGGGAGGAGGGATAGCTCAGTGGTTTGAGCATTGGCCTGCTAAACCCAGGTTGTGAGTTCAATCCTTGAGGGGGCCACTTAGGGATCTGGGGCAAAATCAGTACTTGGTCCTGCTAGTGAAGGCAGGGGGCTGGACTCGACCTTTCAAGGTCCCTTCCAGTTCTAGGAGATAGGCTATCTCCATTTATTACCACCTTGGGAGTTAGTGTGTCCAATCCTTTGGGATTGGTACAACTTCCTTCTATGATGAATATGATTTTCAGTAATCCTCATCATATTTCACTTGGTTATCTGGGTGGAAGCCCAAGGCTTGGTTGCTTTAAGGGAACTGTGTTTTTGGCTTCTGGGTAACCAGTGAGGTATTACAGAAGCTGTTTGTGCTGGCTTGGGAAATCTAAGTATTGGAATATCCACCAGTTTTGGGGATTGCCTGCCCCATTCTTTACAGATTGCCCTAATTGATTAACAGTGTGGCTCCCCTGGGACCCTGGTCACAAATGCATGTCACAGAATATATTTATATCTGTACCTTTTCTTTTACGTATTATTAAAACCAGATACTTTCCCCTTACCTGGTTACTCTGCCTTTCTACATCATCCAGCGTTGGCAGGTCAGCTAGATATTTTTCTAGGGTTTCAATTCGTCTCTGTTTGTCTTTGTTTTGTTCAGACTCTTTTTGGCATTTCTTTTTCAGGCTATTTATGTACCTGTCTCTGGTTTTAAGCTAAAAGAGTAATACAATTACATAATTTATTATGGTAGAAAATAAATCTGTACAAGATAATGAAGAATCTATTTCCAAATTCTCAAAACTCAGCAGATTTTTAGAAGCTACATTCTTAGCCAGAAGTAAGGGTTAGTTATTACAGAAAATTACACCAAAGGGTCATTTATTTTGCTTAAATCCAGTATCTCCTACCCAGAACAATTACCATCTTTAAATATTTGCGTTGCACCAAACATATTTGAAGCTACAATTGTTTTACCTCCATTTATATGACCCACTGCTTGGGAATTGAAAACATCCTTATTTAACACATTATTTTTTATGTCAATTGCCCACAATCTGCTAGGAAGTTTCTCACTATTTTGGCTTGTTCTATGTGCATGCCTGGTGGACAGCAACATGAAGAATATTAGGAGTGGGAGAACTGGGACAAAACTACTGTGTGGACTGTCAAAGAGTCTGCATTTTGCTGCAAGTCTGTGTGAGTCCTTGGAGAGAAAAAACAGAGGCAGAGAATTGTTTCTGGGGATAATGCAAAGCCTGAGGCTACTGCAGAAGAGCTGTCTATGTGCTGCTTTTTCCCTACTGCTATCCAGGCAAACAGGACTGGTGTACATTTTTTGTAAATAAACATATTACACTAAGATAGTGGTTTCCAACCTTTTTACGCTCAAGTTCACTTTTTGAATCTAAGGGCAACCCAGGATCTACCCCGCCCCTTCCCTGAGGCCCTGCCCCTTCCCCCCACCCCGCATCGCTTGCTCTCCCTCACCCTCACTCACTTTTCACCAGGCTGGGGTAGGAGTTTGGGAGGGAATGCGGGCTCTGGGCTGGGGCTGATGGGTTCGCAGTGTGGGAGGGGGCTCTGGTCTGAGCCTGGGGCAGGGGGTTGGGGTGCAAGCGGGGGTGAGGGGTGCAAGCTCTCAGAGGGAGTTTGAGTGCAGGAGGGGGCTTCGGGCTGGGGCAGAGTGTTGGGGTGCAAGAGGGGGTACAGGGTGCTGGCTCTGGGAGGGGGGTCAGGGATGCAAGAGAGGGTATGGGGTTCTGGCTCTGGGAGGGGGGTCAGGGCTGGGGTACAGAAGGGGGTATAGGTTCAGGATGCAGAAGGGGGTATAGGATGCTGGCTTCAGGAGGGGGCTCAGAGCTGGAGTGCAGCCTCCTGCTGGGCAGCACTTACCACCAGCGGCTCCCGGTTGGCAGTGCAGCATGGCTGCTGCTAAGGCAGGCTCCCTGCCTACCCCAGGCCCACGCCACTCCTGGAAGGGGCCAACGCGCCCCAGCAGCCCCTGGGAGGTGGCGGGGGGCATGTGGCTCCGCACGCTGCACCTCTCTGCAAGCACCGCCCCCGCAGCTCTCCCGGCCAGTGGGGGCAGTGCTTGCAGGCAGGAGCAGCGTGCAGAGGGAGACCTCTGCCCCCCCACCCACCACCGGGGCTGCACCGGCCATTTCTGGGAGCGGCATGGGGCCAGGGTAGGGATTCTGCCTTAGTGGCAGACACGCTGTGCCACCAGAGATCGCGATCGACTGGGAGATCCTCTAGGATCGACCAGTAGATCGCGATCAACCGGTTGGTGACCACTGCGCTAAGAAAATACCCTGATATTATGCCACCAATTTCTCATCCAAATGGAAACCTCTCTGCAAGACCCTGAATTTTTGCTGCTCAGCCTAAGGGGAAACAGCTCTGTTTTGGGGCTTTGATGTCGTATAGCATCATACCACATAGCCACTTTTACTCCCAGCTCTTGAACTTTTCAGGTACTTATTCTGTATAACTTGATAACTTGAGATAGCGCTCTTTGATCTGTGGCACATTAGCCACTAGAGCATACAGCCCTACTTAAAAAAAAAAAAAAAAAAATCCAAAAACTTATAACACATACATGCTTCTGAGTTCTTGGGTAAATACTGTGTTTCAAAGCCATGTATACAACAAACTGCATGGCCTCAGACATTGCACTCGACTGGGGGTCAGGAGACTTGGTTCTATTCCTGCTTCTGCCACTGACCTGCTGTGTGACACTGGGCAAGTCACTTCACATCCCTGTGCCTGTTTTCCCTCCTATCCTTTGTCTTGTTTTTCAGGCAGGGACTGTTTCTCTGTATATGCTTGCCAAGCACAATAGAGTCCTGATCCATCTGGTGCCTAAAGGTACTGCAGTGATAATAAGAAATAATAATCCCTAGCTCTTAAACAGTGCTTTTCATCATTAGATCTCAGAGTGCTTTACAAAGGAAGTTACTATCATTAGGCCCATTTTACAGAGGGGCAAATGATGCACAGAGGTGAAGTGACTCATCCAAGGTCACCCATCAGGCCAGTGGCAGAGCCAGGAACAGATCCCAGGTCTCCTGAGTCCAGTGCTCTACCCACTACGCCAGTAACAGTGGTTTTCTCATGATACTCTTCTTGAGTTACAAAGTGTTATTTCAACTCTCATTTTATAAATATACACACAATATAAACAGGTGACCAGATAGCATCTTCTCAAGACAGACGTCCTAAATGTTTGGTTTTGGATATTATTTTGTGCAACAGCTACAGGAATTAAAAACAACTTCAAATACATAGCTATCGGGACTAAACCTAATAGGAATCTGAGCCAAAAATTTGACCTTGACACAGTCCAACAACTACATCAGAGGACATCACAATGAAATAGCAGCTTTGTTAAGGCTGACTTTCTACAGGAATCTTAATTCACCATCAGCCTGCAAAATAATTTATTTGCTGTGTTTGATAACCAAGATCAGTACACATACACGCACTCCTGGCACTTGCTTTATTAACAAGGACTTAAACAAACAAAAAAAGACTACTCAAAACCTATTTTCTCACTCAGAATCTGATTTAATGAAAACTCTACCCATTTTGCTCACATCAACAGCCTAGCAACTTACAGGATTAGAAACACTTGTCGCTATGAATAAGTGTGAAATGTAACCCTTTAAAATATCAAATACAATTGGTGTTTCTGTGTCTAGTGCTGGAAACATCCATCTTGCTGAAAAACAAATGTTATGTGTGACACTGGCAATGTCAGAGTCTAATGATGGAGTCTATAAAAGTGTTTAGTAGCTGACAACATCTGGAAAAAAGCTTTTCCAGGGACAATTTTCTAAACAAGTCAGGATCCTGGGGGCTACGGGAGGGCTATATACACATTCTGTTAAGTTTTAAGATTAGTTTTGATATGAATCTCTTAATTATCAGGGCCTCAAAAACGGATACAGCATTCAGGCTGTTCTACGACATTTCTTACCAGATAGATCCCAAAAGTATTTGGAGATACATCCTAGAGTTAGGATGCTTCCCCAAACCAATGACCTTCAAAAATGCCTTTGCTCCTCTGACATGTCATCTTCCTTTAGGGGATGCTGGCCTTGTGCTTTTTTCAATGAGGTTTTGCACAACTGTTTCGTCCACTAAAATCCTCCAGCATTTTCAGGGACAGATATGTGGCCTTCTCACATCTCCCCTTTCCCTCTTGCACCCACAACCTGAGGTTCCTCTCCTGCAATCACAGGCTGTAGCTTCTCTCCCTCTATTAGCTGGATTGTCAGCCACTGATATTCCCCTTCCTTCCATCTCCACATCCCCAATGTCCTCTCCCCACTTCCTAAAGGGTTATTTTTCCTGTAAAGGTCAGCCCTCAAAAGTTAGTGTTAATGTCAGTATTAAAGTGAAAACTTAAATTTGTCCTCTTGTATGCAGTGCAGGAGTGGAGTAGGGTGGAGAGGTTTCCCTTACTAGCAGTTTGTTTCAATCCCCCACCCCTTTCCTTGGGATGGAGATCCCTTCCACAGCCTTTGGGGAGGAGGAGTTCACCCAGAAATCACTTCAACACCTTTCTCAGTAACGATTAGTTTTATCAGCAAATAGTTCCCCAGATGAGCAAAATAATTTCAGTACCCCCCCCTCATCAATCCCTCAGTAACTGATTAGGGGCCTCCTCCCCTTTAGGCTCTGACGGATACTAACATCAGCACAGTGACGGTGCACAGGGGCCAAGCAGACAGGCTGCCTCCTGGACCTAGCCCCCAATCCAGAGTTCAGACCTTGTCAGCTGTGTCCCTACAGCAGCACATGCCCTTTTTGGCCCTGCATTTCCTCCTTTCTACAATTACAATCCCATCCTACTTTAATGCATTCATTTAATTACATGATCACATATTTTTTTCCACAGGATCCATGGCTCATTCAGTCCACAGGCTGGATGGGGCTTAGGGAAGAAGTCATGGTTGTGTAGTGAATTAGGCTGCAGAGATTCTGCCCAACTCCCAGAACAGCCCAGAATTGTCCTGCATTGTAAGTTCTACGCTGCACCTCTCAGAGAAGAGGCAGCAGCTTTTCACTCATGGATTTGGCACATTCACTCTGGAAGGCAGGACAGCTCAGTATATGAGACTTGTGTCTGCTGTATTAGACGCAGTGGTTTTAGTCCCAAACTTTCCACACTATTTTAAAAAAATATGTTCATTTATTCATGTTAATAAGTGCTTCAAATCACATGAATTTTCAGACTGTTGGGCTGAGGCACATGGATACAATTTTCCTTTAAAGCGACACCCTGAGCAAACCTAATTGACATGAGCTGAAATCAGTGTCAGCAACAGGTTTTAACTGGTTTCTGAATACCATTCAAACATTCAAGAGAGGTTCAGATCCATTCATGCTGACATTGTGGTCAGCAATGGTAATTTTTCTATTGTAGACATGATTTAATGGAGTTTTAAAAATAAATTGAGTCATCAGTTTGTGTAGCGTATTTTACGATGTGCCCAGGGTTGCTCAGAGGAGGTGATGTTCCTTCTAAGGGAACGTGCTCAACTGAAAGTAAGTAAAGAAACAAAAATTAAGAATTCAACGCACTGTCACAAGCCTTTGTGCTTACAAGCCTACCGCCTTCTCTACACCATGGAATTTTAACAGAAAATGTCCCTCTTTGGCTTGCATTAGTAACCACAAGACCCATAATGAAGATGGGTGATTTCAGCACCAGGTCATATATGCTTGCTGGGAGCAAGCTTAATTAATATGGTGCTGAAAATGGCAGTTGGAACAGAGAAAGCCATCTACATTCAGGCTAACACCAGTGAAGCTGCCCACAGTTTTCTCATCCCTGCAGGAAAAGCTAATGCTACCTCAGTGAGTTGTTTTTACTGCTCCCTCAGCCAGTATTATCTCTCCCCTGTTCTGAATGTTCCACTTTAGGGAGGATAGCAACACAGGCATTTTTTAAAAAAAGGTTTCCAGAGTTACATCCATATTAACAAATTACAATCCATGTGGCAGGCATGTTAAAAAACTGCTACAGGTTATGGTACCTGCGGCAGTATATAGCATCTGTTTGCCTATTATTATTTGTTACCTGTATTACAGTCACACCTAGAGCGTCACTGCAGTAGGCACTGAACACACGTACAAATAGCAAGACTGCCCCTGTCCAAGAGGGGTTTTTTTAAAATGAAAAACCAAAAGTCCTTTTCACCCTGGACAGGGAAATCATGCTGCCACTCTGTTGACATGGTTGAGGTTTGGTACACGTCTACTGGGCATGATTCACACTGTGATACTCCAGTTTCACCCAGTGTAGCTCCACTGAGATCAAGTAATTGTGTAACACAACGTAACGCTGGAACAAGTGGTGAATCAGGCTCGGCATGTTTAAATGCCATATTGTGGACGGGCTATAGATACCACAGGATAAATTAGAGCCTACACATTAGTTGCTTTCTGCTTAAAAAGTTCTGATACAACCATGGCACAAAGGTGAAATCTAAACATGAAAGCCACTTACTTTCTCTTCCATCTTCTTTTTCTCTTCACTGGATTTGTTTGAAATTTGCTTGAGAAACTCATTGAGTTGCATTTCCTTATTCTCAACTGATGCAAGCTTTTGCTCAAGCTCCTCACAGTGGGATACTGATCTTTCTGAAAATGGAGCTTGCAATGATGTGTTCTCATATTGTGAATGCTTTAAAAAAAAAAAAAAAAGTATAGTTAAAGTGCAGCTGACAGTCTTACATAACTGAATGGCTCCTAGAGAAAACCCTCTCACTTGGTAGATTGAAAAATACAGTGACTGTCTTACAAAGAAAATGCACATATGCTACAACATGTTTACTGAGGAGAGGTGACACAGCACAAGCTACGAAAAATAACTGCACTGGTGTTCATTAGGCTACATCTACACTACAAGCCCAGTGATTCCCCTGCTCATGTATGTGTACACACACACACACACACACACACACACACACACACACACACACACA